AAAATTCCATATAAAATAATATAATATTTTTTTAAAAAAACTAGTTTTTAGTTGGCCCCCCATCTTCCTTTTAAAAATGAACCCCCCCAAGGCGTCACAAAGAAAAAAGAGCTTGAACAGAAATTCTTCCAAGATTGTTATGAGCAGTGAATTTCCAAAATATTTTGTGCTATAAAAGCAATGAAAATTATTTTTATAAATCTATTATTTTCATTCTCAGATTACCACCCCCTCCCCCCCAAAAAGGAGAAGCTTTTTTAAAAAAAATAAATAAAATAGGAATGCTAGTGGGAAAACCGAAAGTTCCCAATGTGTATTTGCATGGACTAGAAGAAAACAGGGTAACAGGACTTTTACTCAGATACCCGGGGGAAACTGCTCCTAATAAGCCAAGTCTCCGTGAGACCCGGGGCAAGCCACGCCCCCTCTGGGCTCAGTTTCCCCACGTGCAAACCGAGGCGCTGTGTGTGTTGTGTGTGCAGTGCGCATCCAGCCCAAACCCTGCGCCCCGGTTGGATATGCGGGGAGCTCAGTGCAGGGAGAGGAGCCCGCGTGGTTCGCCGGGCGGACCAACGTGTAAACCGAGACCCCCGGGTCCGCGGAGAGCGCCCCCCACGCCCCTCCCCCAGCAGGCTGCCAGCACTGGCTCCAGGCCCGTTATTCCCACGCCTCGCGCTCCCCTCCTGGGCCGCGAGGCTCCAGGCCTGTCTCTCCGGGCTCACCTCCCCGGGGACCAGATCCTGCTCCGGCGGCGGCTTTGTGTGCACAAGCGCCCGGGGCACGGCCCGGCCCCGGGAGTCGCGACGGCTCCGGCCCGAGGGGCACCGAGAACAATGGACGGTAGAGGCCCGCCCCCAACCGCTCTCATTGGCTACCTAGAACGGCCCCTGAAACTCTGCTTTCCTATTGGTAGATACGGTGTCCAGCCGGCGGCGGGAAGGAGGCTAGGCCGAAGGCATTGTGGGAGATGTAGTCCATCCACCCAGACCACCCAGGCTGCAGGCCTGGGAGAGGCGTTTGGGGTTGAGAGTCTGGGGCGGCAACCGAGGGCCAGAGGCAGAAAATCCGCGGGCTGGCCCTGAGGACTGCAGTGTTGGCCAGAGCTGTGATCTGGAACAGGTCATTACACCTCTTTGAAGCTTTCCTATATTTGTCTATAAAAAGTGAAAGTTAGATGAAGGGACTTGAAAGTCCTTTCCAGCTGTGGTTAAGCCCCTGGACGGTCAAAAGCAGCCCTGGAGGAGGAAATGCATGTCGCCTGAGCCCATCACCCCTCCCCCAACTTGAAGGTGCACCTGGCTGGTGCATACACCTTTTTTTTTTTTTTTAACATATATTTTTATTGATTTCAGAGAGGAAGAGAGAGGGAGAGAAAGATAGAAACATCAACGATGAGAATTATTGATCGGCAACCTCCTGCACGCTCCCCCACTGGGGATTGAGTCCGCAATCCTGGGCATGTGCCCTTGACTGGAATCGAACCCGCGACCCTTTGGTCCGCAGGCCGATGCTCTATCCACTGAGCCAAACCAGCTAGGGCTGCACCTTTGTTTTTGCAAGTGGCATTCCTGTGTCTAGAATGCCCTGTCCTGTCTCTTCTGCCAGGAACTCCCATTCTTTCGTCTGTTTCCATCAGCCAACCCCCAGAGACACCGCCCTCAGCACACCTTTCCAGGTCTCCCTGCTGTCAGTGGGAGGTGGACCTCTATCCTGGTGTCCCCACGCTCGGGGTCGCTTGGAGATAAGGCTTGAGGATAAGCGGAGGCTGTATGACAAGTAAGAAACTGCCCTGAAGTCCAAGGGGAAGTATAAGGACGGAGAGAAAGACACTCTTAAAGATCTGTGATAGATGGAACAGTCGTGCGTGTTTGTACAGAGCAATTACTGGAGGCACACACAAATGACTTCATTTGTTGTTTTAGTTGTCATTTAAATTTCATTTCATGGAAATTTAATTTTCTTTTTTTTAAATATATTTTATTGATTTTTTACAGAGAGGAAGGGAGAGAGATAGAGAGTTAGAAACATCGATGAGAGAGAAACATCAATCAGCCGCCTCCTGCACATCTCCCACTGGGGATGTGCCCGCAACTCAGGTACATGCCCTTGACCGGAATCGAACCCGGGACCCTTCAGTCCGCAGGCCGACGCTCTATCCACTGAGCCAAACCGGTTCTGGCGGAAATTTAATTTTCATTTCGTGAATGTTTGGTAAATATTTTAGTTTGTTGGTGATTTTAATCTAATATTTTATGAACCGATTGTTCCTATATTCTTTCCGCTTTTTAAGTTGTATTTATCCATAAGAGCTCTTTGTATGTTAAGAAAATGATTCCTTTGGCCCCGCTGGTTTGGCTCAGTGGCTGAGTGTAGACCCATCAACCAGGAGGTCAGGGTTGGATTCCCCATCAGAGCACATGCCTGGGTTGCAGGCTCCATCCCCAGTAAGGGTTGTGCAGGAGGCAGCCCATCCATATTTCTCTCTTATCGTTATCGTTGATGTTTCTATCTTTCTCTGTCCCTTCCTCTCTCCGAAACCAATAAAACCATAAAATATTTTTTAAATATAGTGATTCCTTTGTTTGTCACAAAAATTGCTGTTTTTCTCAATATTTTGTTTGCTTTTTGCTATTTTTTAAAATATAGAACCTTGACATTTTTATGACGTCAATTTTGTCAGACTAGTCTTTTTATAGCTTCTGAGTTTTCTGTGATTCTTAGAAAGTTCTCTGCCCCACTCCAAAGATTATTTGAGTTTCACTCATTTTTCACTAATTATAAGCCCTTTAATCCAAGTATAAACATGCA